GTGTCGTTCGTCGGAGCCATGCTTCGCTCACTTACAAGCGATTTGGCTGACGTGATTTATTTGATGCTCCGACAGGCCTGTCCCGACGCCCTCGGCAGAGGCGACACGTTACAGCAACTACACTCCCTTCGACCAGCATTTCAGGCCCACCACAGCAACCCCTCAGACGAACAATTCCCTCTCCACATTTCCAACCAAGACCTTTCCGGGTTCTTCACCAGCATCTCCACAGACCGCTTTCTGCCCAGCTTGCACCTGATGATTCACTGGTACAAGAACAAGAGTGTTAAGCATGCCGCAACATTCACCAGCACCCATCATGAACCCGATCCCACCATGCGGGTACACAGAGGACGCTCACGCTTCCAAAAACCAGGACGCCGTACCATCCACCTTTGCCATCTCCCTGACATTTGTCAAGCGGTTTTGCTCCTCAACTACTGCATGGTGGGCAACACTTTGTTGCAGCAAACCCGCGGAGCACCCATGGGATCCCCAGCGAGCCCAGCACTTTGCGACATGGTGGTTGCCGTGTGCGAGCAATCATGGACTCACACCTTCCGCAACATTACTTACAACGTCAAGCACTGCAACGAAAAACATTTTTCGCTCAGCGGTTTCTATTCTTTGCCACCAGGTACGTTGACAACAGACTTACCCTCCTTCCCGCCTGCGCCACACACCTTCCCCATTTCTCACAATTCCTTTCACCCCACTTCTACGGAGCTCCCATCTTTCTTGAGACCGAACCCGGTCTCGATTTCCTTGGCTTCACCATCGACCCCTCTCAACACACCATTCACTACAAAGCCACATCCAACCTCACCGACATCCTATCACCACACTCAGCATCACCCGACATTGTGCTACGCAGCAGCTTCAGAGCTCGTGCCATTTCGGCACAACGTTTAGCCACACCCCGAGAAGCAGTTGCTCAAGCCATGGAGCAGCTCTCTGAGGTTTACAAAACCGCCGGCTACGACCAGAGCTGGATTCAGCATTTGCGCAAAGAATCAGCATGCATTTGCCGGGGGCTTGATCTCACTCACGTTTAATCTTGACAGCACACACGTTTGTTCACAGATATGGTATGCAGCCGTTTTCCCTTACAGCATCAAGGTAACATGCATCACAGCAGGGGCAGACTTCAACCCCTGCGCAAGCTAATGCCGCGACCATCAGAGCCCAGACCACGTCGACAACAAGGACACCGTTCTCGTTCGCCACCTCAGACCCTATATTCGGCTGAGGCTTCTCAGCCGTCTGGTCTACGCAGCCAACTTCTTCGAGTGGCACAAGAGCAAGACCCTCCAGTGGAGAACGACGACAATGTCCACCAAGAAGATGGTACAGAGGAAGTACCGCCACCAGCGACGCCACCTGAGGATCCGCAGCCCCCTGCGTACGACAACACCTTGTTTTTCCAGCGCATAGCTTTAATCGATTCTAATGCCAAAGCAGTGGCTCTACTGCATACAACGAACACGCTTTTGGCTACCCAACACGAAGCTAGTGCCGCGCTATTGGCCAGCTGTAAACAACAGCTCGATATCATAGTTGATTTGCTTCGGACGGAGCAAGCCGGCCGCTCCGACGTTGACTGGTCTTAGCATGTACAGCTGAATCGCGGTCTACCTCGTTTTGACAACACTGGCAGCATCAGCATAAAAGCCCGTTGTGAGCTGACCCTTTTGTTCCTGTGAACATTCCACACAGTTATGTTTCACATGCACCTTCATGCGTCTTTCATGCGCAGGCGTTTTACAGCTCTGCGACCGCAGTTTATTCAACTGGCATTGTATCATGGCGGAGACTCCTTCAGGTCCACCGCGCTCTGTACAAGGAATCTCAACTCAACATGCTTCCGATACCGGTCTGCCGACCGACAGTGAGGCCAGACGCGCAGCTCTGAGCCAAGCGCTTCTCCAAGTATTGACCGAAGGAAGGGAGCACGCTGAAGATTCGGAGAGTATTGTCAGCAGCCTCTCCGACTCAGAATTCCGTGATCGACTCGCAGACTTCATAGAGATGTCCATCAGAGAGATCAACGATTTGAAGGACCGCGTGTCCCGTTTGGAAGCACTCATTAGCCAGTGAATGTTCACATACAAAGCCTGCGCCACAGAGACCCAAAACAATGCATTGAATTACAGCACCGCTGCTTGTTGATCATGCAAGCTCTTTCTCATCACATGATTCGTCGCAGCCGTTTTATTCTCTCTCTGCTGTGCATTCATCATGCCTCGAACCCCACGCTCCAGATCCCCCATTGGGTCGGAATGGCGTTGGCACTGGTCGTGTGACCAGGAAGGCCGATGGTCGTGGGTTTGGTTTAGAGCCACACGTTCCTGGCTCAATTCAGTTTGCAACGACAGCACTACGACCACATCACAGCCGGTGGAACAACCCGACACGACTCTGCAGCCCACAGAAAACGCAGGCAGTTCTTCGCCTACGAAGCGCAAACGATCTCGCACTCCGTGAGCCAGATCAATTCACTATGCATGCCTTGCCGATCTTATCGGCC